GGCCAAAATCATCACAATTAAAAGACCCAACGGCTTAAACTACTTCAGTCTGTGTGTACTGAATTTATATAATACACGAGTTTCACTATTTGAGTTGAATTACTGAAATAAATGGACTTTTCCACAATATTCTAACTTATTGAGCTGCACCTGTATATGTATGCAACGTGGAGTGGTTTATGACGTTACTACTGCTGTTGGCCTTGGACTCCTTCAAATACATTCACCATGTACCAAGGAGCTGGAGAAAGAAAGGTGCTGTTATGGGTCAGCTGCAAATCTTGCAAGCTGTGTTCGGTCAACTTTTGATCTTTCAGTAGATATGCTGCCGTTTGACCTTGACATCCCTTCTTAGCATTGTGCCACACTCGCCCTTAAATACAACCACCTGACGTCTGCGATCTCCACCAACCGGTGGCCCCGGAAAATCGTGTTCCGCCCCCTTACCGGAGACTTTACTTCAATTAGCCAATAGTATTTGTGCAGGAACATTACATCATCAACGTACAATCACGCCTTCGATTCTATACAACCTAAAATGACTGTCAGGCGTTTCTGCCAATCATTTCTGAGTGTCAGGATAGAACATCCAATAGTAACGTGATTATAGAAAATAGGCGGGCTTTAGCGTAATTCTATCCTTATTCTTTGGTGTTGCATGATTCAATTTCCGGCTGTATCGTTCTGGGGACATCACAACGTGAGCGGTTATCCTTAGCGTGCTGTTTTATGTGACATGAGGTTTTACTGGAAACATATGCCCTTTTTTCCAGTAGTGATTATTTGACAAGATAATGTTTGCTTTCCTTCATTTGCAGTAGCTGTTAGTTTACCGACTGCCAGCAAGCAGGCTAACTACTGCACTACACGACTTCATCGAGCTAATGCTAGTTTAGCTATCGTTTGTGGCTTGTAGCTTTCATTCATAATGTTAGCTACGTGCTAATGTCAAAATAGTTAGCTTCCACACTGTTTCCCCGTTTATTTATGTTGTGTATCATCATCATTATTATTATTTTTTACTTCGTTTTTTCTTGCCTGCTACTGTTCTGCCTTAATATGAATTAACATGAGCTGTGTGAAAGATTAAAGGGCCATTCCATCAATTTTACATATGAAGACAGTTTGCTTATTAGGGGAAATATTGCTCAACTTATTTAATGTCCTTTTTTGCTCTGGAAGATGCTTGTTGTAATAATATACAACAGACAGACAGGTTATCCTTACTTTTGAGGGGTGGGAACAAGCAAATGATTCCAGTGATACATTAGTTACAAAATAGTTGCCAGTGAATTTTCTGTCCATCAGTTAATCGACTAATCCTTTCGGGTATTTAGGCAGAATTAAAGGCTATCATGTTTTTGTTTGTCTTTGTTATTTCTTTTTTAGAAAGTCATCTTTGAAAGACATTTTTCCGCCTTTGATATTCTAATGAAAAATATCACTGAGTTGCAGTGTATGACTTATGGGGTTCTCTTTGGGTTGCAGCCCACTTCCTTACCCCCTTTTGCTCTATTTAATGCCTTTATTCTTTCTGTGGATTCTCAGCATGGGCAGTGTTTTGGCTGCTAGCTCCCCCAGCCCTCCACCACCGGCCTCCAGCGGTGCTGCTTCCCCTGGGTTGACAATGCCGCCAGGCTTTGGGATGCCTCCAGTCTCCCCAGTTATACCCCCGACAGGGGTACACTCTGGACAGCAGCAGGATGCAGAAAACCCTTTGCCCAACCCGGGTGCATTTGATGAATGTCATCGCAAATGCAAAGGTAAATGGAGATAATTGACCAAGTACATATGAGTCAAAAATAAAGATAATTGAAAACAAATCCCTGTATGACCTGAATGTATCATTTCCACACCTGCTTTTCTTCTCAGAGGTTTTCCCTATGCAGATGGAGGGTGTCAGGCTAGTTGTAAACAAAGGCCTTAGCAACCACTTCCAGGTCAGTTAAGTTCCTTTACCCACATGAATCAGGGCTGTTTGTTAGTAGTCACCAGACAGTATCAGACTAAATAAATCAAGTCTGTCTCAGGAATTCCGCACAGAGTAAGCAGATTGCAAACATGTGGCACTTTTTTGTTTAAACTTACTCTTTTCAACATCCTTTAAGGTGAATCACACTATGCTGCTAAGCACCATGGGAGATTCAAGCTACAGGTTTGGTGCTACATATGTTGGATCAAAGCAGACAAGTCCAGCAGAGGTATGCTGCAGTAAAGTCACTGTGTGTGTCCCATCTCTAAGACGTTTGATGTCTTTATCCTTCAAACTGTAATCCAGCTCTTTTTGTTCAGTTTTTTCCAGTCATGGTTGGAGACATGGACAGCAGTGGCAGCCTTAATGCCCAGATCATCCACCAGATCACCAACAGAATACGATCCAAAGTGGCCTTCCAGGTAAATCTCCTGCACTTTATTAGATCTTTGTTAGACCTGTACTTTAACTTTACCACCATATTCTGGTCACAGCATGTTTTCACTTCACCAGTGTGTTAATTTATTCTTCCTGACTTCTCCCTGTCCATGAGGTTAACTTTGTCAAAATCTCTCGTGCTCAGACACAACAACAGAAATTTGTGAACTGGCAAATGGATGCAGACTTCAAGGGAGAAGATTTTACTGCAACTATTACTCTTGGAAATCCAGATGTCCTCATTGGCTCTGGTAGGTCATCGGTCAGTAACGCTGCCCAGTTCGACCACATGTTAATGTCCAAGAGCTGCCTTCAGACTGTTTATAGATATATTTCAGAAAGCAGCTATATAATCTTACCAAAACAAAGATTTAATCTGAACCATAACTCTGTCCTGCTTTTGCCCATCTGTCAGGTATTGTTGTTACGCACTACCTCCAGTCTATAACGCCGGCTCTGGCTCTGGGAGGGGAGTTGGTTTACCACCGCAGGCCAGGAGAGGAGGGCGCAGTGATGTCTCTAGTTGGCAGATATACAGGTAGGGCCTGGTGAAAAATGTCAGTATAGGTTTGTTGTCTGGACTGACACATCTAGAACTTGTACTTCTTCAGGAATGTGTTTCTTTTTTCCATTGAATTAATTAAATTTATTTATTTTTACTGCACAGGCAGTAACTACATTGCCACGTTGACACTTGGCTCAGCGGGAGCTCATGCTTCATACTATCATAAAGCCAATGATCAGGTAACCTCTGTCTTTTACCCCTCCTGTTTATTAGGCTCAAATAGTATCTGTAAACAATTTAAACTTTTGTTTGTGGGAATGTCAGTCAGTAGATTTGAGTTTGCAAATCTGGCCCTTATATTTTATGTAATTGATTTAAATATGATGTACTTTACTGTGTGTTGAACCGTCACAGGTTTCTCTCTGGCTCAGGAGTCGTATACTTGTGTGTGTGTGTGTGTGTGTGTGTGGGCACTTTATGTTCCTCCACTATCAAGATCTGTCTCTGCTCTTCAACAGCTGCAGGTCGGTGTGGAGCTTGAGGCGAGCACCCGCATGCAGGACACCAGTGTGTCGTTCGGTTACCAGCTAGACGTGCCCAAAGCCAATTTACAGTTTAAAGGTAGGATGGGTATATTTAAAGCTTGTTCAAAAGAACGGTTACGTGTATATTCATTACTGCTGTGATAATTCTGTACTGGAAGCTGTACACATTTTGAACAGTGTGGTATCTTTGTGAAGAGGTGAGGAAGTGTAACTCTGTTTTGGCTCAATGTAAAACAAACGTGTAGCTACTCCCACTTTGTAAGGCAGGTATTTTTATTCTTTATAATCTACCCATATAACACAATGTCTTTGTCACTGCTTCAGGTTCACTAGACAGTAATTGGGTAGTTGGTGCAACATTAGAAAAGAAGCTGCTCCCTCTGCCTCTCTCTCTGGTCCTTTGCGCCTTCCTCAACCACCGCAAGAGCAAGTTCCAGTGCGGTTTTGGTGTCACTATTGGCTAGACTGACTGAGCGGCGGGTTGTCGGCCTGCAGATGGACTTCACAGAACAGACAGACTCACTATAGATGAACAGACTGTGCCATACACTGTACTATACACTGCTGTGTCCCATCACCTCTGTCTCTACAACCTCTTCAACAGTCTTTATTGCACAATTGGTTTCTTATTTAACCTTTTATTGTGTGGTGAATAGAAGATATGAACCTAAATCTAATGACTGTAATCGTCTAAGATTAAATACCAGAATAATCCGAAGGGTGACAAAGAATGTGATTGGTCAGAAATTTGTCACCTGTCAACACCAACGACGGGCAGCATAAAGACATTAAGAGATGTTAGAGAAATAGAACTCTTCTGTTTTCTGTCACTGAGTTTGGTAACATTTTGTTATTTTAGGTTTTGTATCTTTTACTGTAACAATAGTGTTGCTACACAGTGAATGAAATAGTTTCCTTCTGCTTATTTAAAGGTCAGTTGCTAGTTAAAGACGAGTTCACAGGAAGGAGTGTGCTGTGCTGTACTATATGTCCCCGTCACAAGCCATCGCTGGTTTTGTTGTTTTTTTTTTTTTTTGCATACATGTGAAAGAGTATATTCCTCTTGGAAACTGATAAATACCATTTGTTTGTTGTTTTTTTTTTTAAAAACTGCATTTCTTGGCTGTTTCCTTCAGTCACTGCCATCAGTGATCCTGTGAGTTGATGTGAATTTTATAAAGAGTGCTGCTTCTGGTTTAAATCTGACCATTGAGCCCAGATGATGTCAAAGGGCATCAGGTCATGGAGACGAAACAGACCCCGAACTGTGCCAAATGACAACAATTTCAGGTTTACACCAAAGTTCAGGAAAATAACTTTTTCATCTTTCTCCTAACATTTTAAAACACTCTTAAATGTCAGAGGAGCAGCATGCATAAGCATGCAGTCTACATTTGATAAGATGTTAACCCCCTAAAGTTGGTAGTTTAGAGATTGCTGTAGTGTAAGATGTTTGGTAAATGCGGGCCCAGGTCACGTTAACTAGCCCTGCAGGAGACCTCAGAGAGAGAACATCCACACCCTGTGAAGAAATATCTAGTGACTGGCGTTTATTTAATTAATCAGTTCAGAGACTTGGAGAAACCACTGTATGTCATAAGAGGAAGCGGAAGCCATTCTGGTGTCTCCGCTGTATGTATGGTATATTATATGAACATCATTAAACCCTGACATGTTCATATTGGGGTTATATCCTCTACTTATTTCTGTGCTAAAGTTATTGCAAAGTCATGTCAACATGGTCCTGAATAGGAAAAGATGACTAATTTTGGCTGCTTTAAGCATAAGGATAAAATACTGCTCAGCAATGCATTATGGGAAGAAGAGATCTGCTGATACTGTGATTCACCAGAATGAGAGTACTGTTTTTTTCTTATGGAATTTTCATGTAAGGAAATCTCTTGATGAAAATCCCTCTTGGTAAAATGCCTCCTGTAGTAATTAAGAAAGTGAACTGCAGGATTTGATCAGGAATTTTTATTTAATGTACAGTGGGTGTATTTAAAATAAATATCTGGTGTGTGGAGGCTGGAAAAGCAGTGAAGGCTTTGAGGCCGTTTACTGGGTCTTCTTGGTGAAGGACTCCCACAGAGCAGCCAGCTGAGCCTGCAGGTCCTGAGCGCTAGAGTCCAACTTGGCCTTCAGCTCCTCTCCATATGGAGTCAGGTTCTGCTGGATCTCCTGGGTTTTCTGGGTCAGCTGGGTCTCAAAGCTCTGGGCCAAGGGGATCATGGTCCTCTGAAACTCCTCCAGGCT